TCGCAGGTTTTTTTTGTGCAATTTTGCTTTTTTTGTGTGTGTGTGTTCTGCGTCCTGATTGGCTGTAGACCATTGTCAATCAATCTCATGCCATGTCTGCTGTACAGTACAGAGGGCGTTCAGCTTGTCAAATAAACATCAATCTTAGACCCAGTGTGACAAGTTTCCTCCCAAAGAAACGCAACAATGTTTGGTTTCATCCTATAACACTGGACTTATGTTTCTACACAGGTTTGAACTTTGAGAGTTCAAACAAGAGGAAAGTGAAAACGTTCCTGCCTGTCTGAGCGTATAAAGCATGTCGTGACGGGTTTTACAGCCTTAAAATAATAACTGTGAAAAATAAAGTTTTCTACTTCATGGGTTTCACCTATCGCGGGTTATTTTTAGAACATGACTCCTGCGATAAACGAGCGACTGCTGCATATCGATGGATAGCGCGGGGCCGGCACTGTGTCCTCACATCGAGAAAGTCGTGGGTTTGAATCCGGGTACTCGGGCTTGCTCCCACAGTGGGGTTAGCCTAATTAGCTGCCTGCCTGTGTTAGCCCTGTGACCTGTCCAGGTGTTCTCTGCCCCTCGCCCCCCTATGTGTTGGGTTAGGCTCCACCCCCCTCGACTCTGTGCTGAATAAGCAACACGGGATTCTTCTTATTGTCCAACCAACCAGAGCTACGCTGTATTCCAAAAACAGCTCCTGTAGGAACATTTTCTTTCAGTCGCCTGAGTCGGGATGCTGGACGCTGTCACCTGCTCTTCTGCCCGGGACATTTGAGTCGGAGCCACATCACACGATCATTTCAGCGCTCTGCCAGCCTCATGAGCTGTTTGTGAAATGAGCCAGAATGCACGAATCAGAGCCTGAATAGATCGCCTCTGTTACAGCTCCAGTCAGCTGCTTTAATTGAGTCCAATCTGGGAGTTCCTGCTCCCCTCACTGCCAAATCCTTTTTCCAGCAGATGGGGTGATGGAGGCATCGCAGACAGCAGGCCATGTGATGAAGCGGGCCGACGAGAGGCGTCCCATCAGGGAGCGCTGGCTGACGCTCGTTAGCGCTTGAAAAGCTCGTCAGTGTAATTTTGTGTTGTTTTTGTTGTGTTGTTGGAGTTTCAGGTTCAAAGTGAACGAGCGCTTTTTGTTCCAGGAGCGCCGTTTTCCAACATGCACAGCTGTCAGTGTTGCAGAGTGTGCTGTGATCGGCAGACGGTCATTATCACAAATCGCCGTCGCCATCCACGGCGGGAAGCTGTATCCTACCCTTTACAGACTGTAGATGAAGCACGAGAGCAGGCGGAGACCCAACGTTCCTGGTCAGGAATGCCGTGGTCATGTGATCTGTGTGTGTGTTTCAGGGTCGTAAGCCGGGCTACTTCTCCTTCCTGGACCCGTTCTCTCCGGCTGTCTGGCTCTTCATGCTTTTGGCTTACCTCGCCGTCAGCTGCGTCCTCTTCCTCGCAGCCAGGTAAGACGCCTGTCTCTGCGTCAGCGTCCAGCATGTGTCTGCGTTTCAGGAACAGTTTCCTAAGATGGGCCATAAATGGCCGACGCGCTCTGCACGCCATCCAGGACTTTGTATCGAAACTTTATTTACAGCCACAGCTTCAGACGCTCAGCTCTGTTTGAGCTGACAAACCAAGCATTCAGTCACAGCACACTTTTATTATAAAGTCGTGATTTGATGATGTCATCAGCTGCTTAGCGATGACATCATAACGAGCTGCACTTCAGAGTAAAAGCATGAAGAGAACAGCTTTAATCTGTGTTTAACTGTATGTGTGAGCAGAGAGTAGGAGGGGCACGCCTCTTCATCTGCTCTGTAACACAAATGTTCAATCAGCCAATCACGTGGCAGGAATGTGTGATGATGTCATGATGATGTCATGTCAACATGGACCAAAATCAGGGAAAAAGGGGTCTAACAGGACAGGTTAGGTGTACCTAATGAAGTGTCTGGTGTCATTATTTCTGCCTGAGCTGATTTACAGTCTTCACCTTGTGCAGGTGAGAGGCGAGTCAAAGCTGCGTCACGCAGCAGGAAGCGTGGAAGTGACCAACCCAGCGTAACCGGAGGGTGTCCCATTTCTGTTGGAAGATCAACAGAGTAAAAATATGATGTAATGGAACCAGAACGTGTGCCATTGTGTGCTCGTCTGACGGCGTTCACACTTCCTGTGGATCTTTAAACAAGGAGACGTGAGCAGGAAGAAGTTTGTAAGGAGACAAAATAACCTGCTGGGTTTCCTGTCACTTGAAATTCATCTGCTGTTCCTCTCCTCGCTCTGTAATTTCACCGTGTGCACAAATGCCAGAATGACTCCACGCAACAGTCGTGCGCTCCAGCTGAGCGTCTAAACACAGTCATCACGTCGTTTCCTTTCAGGTGTCGAGCGTGCCGTTCGTCTCTCTCGCCTTTTTTCTTTTTTCTCACCGCATCGCTTTGACGGAGCAGAGCCGTCCCGCTGCGAGGTTTCAGAGCTCCATAAGTGCAGGCGACTGACCGTGAAATGTTAGCCGCGTGGTTAAAGCTACTCTGGGTGTTAATGTGTTGTCCTCTCTCCTCAGGCTCAGTCCCTACGAATGGTACAACCCTCACCCGTGTTTGCGGGAGCGGCGGGACATCCTGGAGAACCAGTACACGCTGGGGAACAGCCTGTGGTTCCCAGTGGGCGGCTTCATGCAGCAGGGCTCCGAGATCATGCCGCGGGCGCTGTCCACGCGCTGCGTCAGCGGAGTCTGGTTGGTACCAGCTTATGTTCCAGTCGAGCTTTCCAAATGTGCACGAACATCTGTCACGTGAAACACGAGCTCATTTACATTACAAGGTCATTTATAAATAATGGAGGACAGCGAGGACGACCGTTCCTGAGCGGAAGACGGCGTCACGCGGCGTCACGCTCAGAGAAATCACCACCGCAGCCCGTGATCAGGGCTGCAGTCATGTTAGCACGTTTCGCCTCCTCTGGTCCAGCTGTGTTATCGGTACATTCAGGAAGTGCCCCCAAACATGTTTATATGAAACTTCACCCCCGTGTGCTGCTGTCAACCAGGGTGGGTGTAGGGCGGAGGTCGGGTGGATGCCACAGAGACACAGTGAGGTGAGCGCTGCATTCAGGGGTGGGCAACTCCAGGCCTCGAGGGCCTGCAGGTTTTAGATCAAAGATGAGTTTGTTACCAGGCCTGTGGAGAACTTCATGTTGAGGAAGATCAGCAGTTTGAGTCTGTGTTGGGTCGAGGACACGTCTGAAACCTGCAGGACGCCTCGAGGCTGGAGGTGGACACGCGTGGCTGCTTTAAACAATAATCAGTGACGGTGGTCGCTCTGTGTCACAGCCCTGAGGCCTGCTGGACTCAATGTTAAACATCTGAGCGTCTGTTTGTACATCCAGCACTCCCCTCCCTCCCCTGCGAGAGAGAGGGTGAGCCCCCTCTCTCTCTGACTCGCCCTCACCCCCTCTCTCTCTCTCTGACTCGCCCTCACCCCCTCCCTCTCTCTCTCACTCTTCCTCGCCCTCTCTCTCTCGCTCCGCCTGAACCCGGACCTCCTGCATCCCACCGACGCCGGC